GGGGGTCCCCCCACCCCCCCCCCCCCCCGTTCTCCCTCTCCCTCCTGGGGACCCCCAACTCTCCCTCTCCCTCCTGGGGACCCCGCGCTGCCCCCACCGAGTCGGGTGGTGGCCCCAGGTGGCCACGTTCAGTGACAGCGCCACACTCGCCCCCGCCCTGCTGGCACCGGGGGGTCCTGGCCCCCCAACCCCAGGACTCCCAGCTGGAGGTACACGGTGGGACCCCCCCCCTTCCTCCTCCTCATCCTCCTGAAGCCCCCGCGGGGCCGCGGTGGGGCCGAGGGGTCCCCCCAGACCCCCCTTGTCCCCTGCAGCCCCCAGGGCTGGGGGCGCGGAGGTGGCAGGAGGGGGTCGGGGTGCCCGGGGGTCCCCGGCCGTGTCCCCGCGCGGGGTCACCCCGTGCCCGGGGCTGTTCTGGGACCGGCTCCGAGGGGAGCAGGGGCTGGAGGGGCCGGGGGGTCCCGGGGTGGCCCCGGTGGCGTCGCGCAGAGCCGGCACATGGCCCTGGCACTGTCACCCTCCGCCCCGCGGGGCTCCGGGGACAGCGGGGGCCGCTCCGAGCGGGGGTCCCCGGGACCGGGGGGCTTCTCCCCGCTGTCCCCCGGCCTCACCCCCGGCCCCAGCGCTCGGTGCCCCCCGTTCGGGCCGTGCCCGCAGCCCCCCGGAGCCCCCCCCTGCTCCTCCGCGCAGCCCCGCGGCCCCCCCGGTGTCCCCTCGGTGTCCCCGCGGTGTCCCCGCGGTGTCCCCGCACCTGCTCGGCCGCCTCCGGGTCCAGGTGCGGCTCCAGCAGCGGGACCGTGAACTGGATCTTGCGGGGGCTGTTGGGCTCCATCGCGGGCGCGGCGGCTCCGGCGGCTCCGGCGGCTCCGAGCGGCCACGCCCCGGCCACGCCCCGCGCAGGCCACGCCCACTGCCCCGCCCCGCCCACCTCCCCGCGCGGAGGGGACGGCGGGACACGGGGGACGGACACACGGACACGGGGAGGGACACACGGACACGGGGAGGGACACACGGACACGGGGAGGGACACACGGACACGGGGAGGGACACACGGACACGGGGAGGGACACACGGACACGGGGAGGGACACACGGACACGGGGAGGGACACACGGACACGGGGAGGGACACACGGACACGGGGAGGGACACACGGACACGGGGAGGGACACACGGACACGGGGAGGGACACACGGACACGGGGAGGGACACACGGACACGGGGGATGGACACACGGACAGAGTCGGGAGGGTGGGACAGAGCCTGGGACAGACAGAGGGACACAGGGATGGACTCACTGAGCTGGGACACGGGGACAGACACGCGGATGGACCCTGGGACACGGGGACAGACAAACAGACACAAGGATGGACTGCAGGCTGCAGGGACAGACATGTGGACAGAGCCAGGATGCGAGGACAGAGGGACACGGGGACAGACACGGGGACAGGGACAGGGACAGGACCCCCCCCACCGCAGTGGGGACACTCCTTGTCCCCATCCTCGGGGACAAGGGGACCCCGCCAGCCCTTGGGGACTGTCCCAGCAGCGCCTGGACCCCCCAAACCCCCCTAAGAATGGAATATTGATCTTTGAGGGGGGGCACAGGGTGGGGTGGGGCTGTCCCCTTGCCCTGGCTGTGCTGTGTCCCCCACACCCCCCCACGGCCCCCTGAAGTGACATAAGTGACATCCTCGGGGATTTGGGGGGGGTCGCAGGGCCGGGGGGGGCTTTGGGGCCGGGGGAGGGGGTCGCAGGGCCGGGAGGGGGTTCT